GGAGTAATTTTATGATAAATGGAGCACAGGAAGTTGGATTTCTTAGGCTAGAAAGACAAATTTCACTACCCGCCATAAGGTACCTTTTGTCAATTATGGTCACATATAGTAATTAACTTATGCAACAAAATAACTTATGTGGTGAATGCATAAAACATGCATTGTTTCACAAGTATGCACTTCCAGTCAGAAATTGATTACACAATACAGATCTGATTTTTAAATTTGGTACTCACAGATAGAGAAAAAAATTCCTTTCCAGCAATATCCCGTTTATGACAATGCACAATAAAATTTGGAAGTTATGGATGCTGTTTGGACGATTGCTCTGGAATACTAGTACAGAGAAAAGCCATTTTAAGTTATTTTCAATGTTTCCGTGTCATGCCCGTTCATGTAGTACATGAAACCACGCCTACCAGGAAAAACCACACCCAAATCAATTAATAAACGGGGAATGAAGAAAGAAGCTCTTTTGACTTGCTTTTCACAGCATTTGAACTATCATTTCTTGTATAATGGACATCGTAAGAGTTGTCTAAAGCCCTGCCATTCATGGTGGCTTCAAATACTAGTAAGTTTTTTCATTACCTAGTTACAGAGTTATTATTACGTCCTCTAGTGCTAAAAGTCCTAATTATGGACTGTTTTGAACACGGATCATCCCCATACTTCATTCAAATCCAACCATCGCTTTTCCTTGAGTTTACAGGTAATATATATATTATTTTTATTTAGAAGTATAATTAAGTTCTTATTATTATTATTATTATTATTAAAGAACTTTACAGTACTAACATAGAGAGAGAAGAAAAGAAAAACATTAAATTGAGGGCAGCAGGAGTTTGGAGTACTGAGGGTACATCAGTAATTAATACTGAGTACCAGAAATAAAAAATAAAACAATAATTTACACTATAACACTATATACATTATACATACACATAAAGTTACTAATGCAACAAAACAGTTATCTTTTACATTTAACGTTAAAATAGTTTATTGTCTTTGCACTTGTGGATGAATCCTATGAAAAATTTGTTGTTATTGTTATGTTTAATGATGTTTCTTTCTCTTACTGTTGTAGCAGGGCCTCCTCTTCCTCTTTGGCCTCTTCCTTGGCCACCTCCCTCTCTTCCTTGGCCACCTCCCCCGCTTCCTTGGCCACCTCCCCCTCTTTCTTGGCCAGCTGCCCCTCTTTTTTGTCCATCTCCTCCTCCTTGGCCACCTCCTCTTCCTGCTCCTCTCCCGACACCTCGTCAATGCTTCCATTTACCCCTATGATGTCTCCTTTTCTT